ATTTAAATTTAAATCCGCATAAACCGAATATGCATTCGTTCAATCGATAATCCAATAATCCATGCCTCTATTTCCATATATATATATATATGTACTCAGCGTACCAAAAACCGTCACTCTACCAAACTTATCCTTCCTCCCTCTCCGAAAAACGGGGCACCGCGCCAACTTTCCCCCATAAATCCATCAATCCCTCGAATCCACCTGAAACCATTACCAGCCCAACACCGCGTCCTAAACTCGGTGCAAGCACGTTGCCAACATCTACCGAGGTGTTGTTCCTCGTAACCCAGCCAGCTGCCTCTGTTTCTCCGCAACGGAGCCGAATTTTCATTTAAAAAGAAAAAGAAAAAGAAAAAGAAAAAGAAAAAGAAGCAAAAGCCTCCTCTTTTGGTAGGCGTGAGCGGTTTCGTTTCGCAGCCGTGCGCTACGCTACTACTACCTGTTGTACGAACGCGCACCGAACGAGAGAGGCCAGAGAGAAAGAGAAATAGAGCGAGAAAGAGCGAGAGAGAGAGAGAGAGAGAGAGAGAGAGAGTGCCGCGGGGGCCCCTTCTTCCCTCGGCTGGAGAGCAGCCGGCGGGGGGCAGAGTCGGAGGGGGCCGCGATCTCTGGGTCCTCCGGCGGGGGCAGGGGGGGAGTGGGGCCGAAGAAGGGTCCACGGGCGAGATGGAGGGGACCATGGCGACAGACTGGCGGCCGCGCACCTGCACTCGCTCGCCGAGTGAGCCGACAGTCAGGGCCGCACCTACCGGCTAAGGCCCAGCTCCCCTTCCGCCATCGGCCCCGGGACACAAATCGGCCCAGTGCATTCCCCGTGTCCTTATCTCCCACCGAGAGCCGCCACCGAAAAGGTCATGAGTCCGATTCCACCGGATTATATTACCTTTTTCGCCATCTTCTTTCCTTTTCTTTTCTTTTCTTTTTTTTTTTTTTTTTTTTTTTTCTTTTTTTCTTTCGTTTCCACAACTTTCTCCCGCTCAATCGATTAGATCGCTCGTTGTTTTCGGCGAAGGACGATCCAAAACGATGGTGTTTCGACGGTTTTGGCAACGTGATAGAGTAATTTTGAGAGAAGATCGACGAAGATCGTTTTAGCAGAGAAGGTCGTGCATCCGGTTTCAAAGAGGAATAGCAAGATACGAAAGTATAATAATTCTTCTCGTTCTTCTTGGAAATTATTATATACGAGGATATAACATTTTGAAAAGTAATTATATTTTTGCTCACTTCGTAGATTTTACCGTTGTTTAGATTCTTTTTATTTTTTTATTTTTTTCCCTAATGAATATGGATTAAAGATTAGTATAATTTGTGTGCATGTTATATTTTAAGCTTATTGACTATGCGGTTTCCTTATAAATTGAGTAATCAAGTTATATTTTATAATTGCAAGGTGATAAATAAATTGCAATAATTTTCAAAACTACCGGTTCTTTACCGGATACCTCAAACGATACGATAATATGCTTGTTATGTAAATAAGCTGAATTCGATTACAAATGAGCATTGGATAAAAAAAAAAAGGGGGGGGGGAATTAGAGATAGAAAGTTAGATTTATTTATCTGAATATATAATCACGATTACGTTAGTCCCAAATTAAATCGAATTACGAAATGCACGTTCAACGTTCTTATTAAGATTCGAAGTAAACTCTTTCTGGGTGTAAACCAATCGACGTAAGTTATTTCAGTTCTGTTCAATTTTTAATACGATTTAGTGACGCCAACGAGAGATTGGTATTTAAAACGTCATTGAATGCAATCGAGCATCGATAGCAGGTTTAAAAAAAACGCCATTGTCGAACGAGTTGTTTTCAGCCCATTATTTATTCCACATGTTCGAGTCGCGCTATCTTGAAAACATCCGGTGTTATTCCAACTCTAATCGTTCGATGCTATCATTTTCTAATCGAATAAAGTATTCCACGCGACAGAAAAATGAATTTCATTCCTCATTTGCGCAATCGACTCGAGAAAAACTAATTTCTCAATTGCTTTTTACTCACAGTACCAGAGAAAACGTTTTATAAAAAAAAGGAAAGAAAAAAAAAAAAAAGAAAGAAAGGAGAAATAAGAAAATTGGAGAAAACCGGAAGATTTATTTTCTCGATGATTTCGAGTTTTTAATAGATGATATCGCAACATATCGGTGCTATTTCCAGCACAGGTTATGGATATTAGATTTCATATATTTCAGATCGATCTTTAGACGTTCGATCGATAAATAACACTTTGCAAGATATTCATATTCTTTTTCGCCTTTTTTTTTTATCTATATTTCTTTGAATTTATTTATCGTCATTTGAAAATATCTTTTTTTTTTTTTTTGCCATTCGTGCAAAGATTTTTACATTCATAAAATTCACTACCGGTATTCATTTTTAAAATTCTTTTGCCATTCGACGAGAAAAGAAATCAAAAGAATCCTCTTCAACAAGTTTATGAGCCGGAACACCTGGAACTTGGAACCTTCTCCGTTCGATTTTTTTTTCTTCTTCTTTCGTTCACGAAAGTCGTCTCAATTTCTAACAGCTTCTTCTAGCGAAGGAACTCTTTTCTCGGATGTTTAGAGCGGAACGGGGAGGACAACCGGACGAGAAAGTGCCGTTAAAGTAATTACTAATCGCGGATTATGTTTCCTATTTCCGTTCCCCGTTTCAGAACTGACGTATTACTACATTCCAGGATAAATTTCATGTTTAGCGAATTTTTAAATTAAAATTAAAAATTAAAAATTTGTTATTCAATTCAGCGTTGAAATTTTATTTCGACGATGGAATTGTATTGCGGTGAATATAAATTGGAGCAAAGATGGAGAGAAGTTCGAAATGTGAATTTATTCGAAACGCATCCGTGTAGACGATAGCACGATCGTTTTCAATCAGAGAGCAATCGTAAATTACGATACTTAATTAACGTAATCGGAGTACAACTTTACGAAGTTGTTCGAAACGCCACGTACACGGAGCCTACGCGTGTGTAGGTAGGCCGTGCTGATAACGCTTATCTAGCGCGCGCCAACCCGTGGCTGAGTTTGCATATCAATGGGAGTTCTTAAGAATAGACACTCGCGTGTCGCGTTCAACCGGCACTCACGCGCGTTAATTCGCGCGATTACAAGCTGTTGTTGACTCTCGGTCTCGCGTTTCTTTCGCTCCGATTGCACGAGCGCCATTCGTAGTAGAAAGGAACTGAGCTACGGTGAAAAATCGGTGGAAATTCATTCATCGTTTTCCAGCACGTAAATTAAACTGTCTGATCAAACAAAGAGAAATTTTAATCATTTCGAATAACATTTTTCTAAAAATCTACAATTTTGCATACTCACTCGAGTCTAGATAGAATTAATTCCAAAACTAATAGCCTATATTTTCAATATTCGAATTTCACGAGCGCGTAACAAACGAACTTCCACGTCAAAAATAGAGAACGATTTTCCCTCGTTATCGTCCGGAGGAAAAGGAAACCTTACTAGGAAAGAGCGTGGGATTATTGTTCAACGTACATATATGGCCTCGCGGTTATTCTTAATATGATGTTGTGCACGAGAGAGAAAGAAAGAAAAACGGCAAGCGTTCGCGCTAATAAACAATAATGACACGTTGAACCAGTTCGTAGCGAGCATCAGAGCTCGCGTGGTAATTTGCATTTGGCCGTAATTGCGATTCAACGGCGAGCACGCCAATGTTCTCATCGAGTCAAGTTTCTGCCACCGATCGGCGCCCATTTTCCGTTCTTACCGTTTCGAATCTTTCCGTTTTCCCAACGACATTTCAACGCTTTCAAGCGATTTTCATGCAAACTAACCTTACTTGCAGCACGAATTTCTGTAAAATCCATTTGTCCTTATACTTTCCCAATCGGTTTACAGGAAACTTCTTGATCGATACGAAACGGAATGTAAATTCGTTAATGGAAATTTATTACGAAAATTGCCTGTAGTTTTCAATTATCGTTACAGATAAATCAGTATTTCCTCCTTTTACAGTAGCCAAACAACTTAGAACAAACAAAATCTAATTTCCTTCTTATACGTATTTTAATAGAATAAATAGAATAAATGTAAATGTAACAGTGTGAAATTCAGTAAGAATATTAGCAATATATTAAAATATATAAGTAATTTTTCTACATAAATAATCAAAAATAGATTTTCGAAGAATACCAATTGTAGAAGTTAGTTATATCGTAATGGAAAATCAATGTAGTTTCTAGAATGCAACGAAATTCAGACACGCACACATACATACGCGATAATATATTCGTTCTAGAATACTTCGAAACGAAAGAGGAAACAAAATGCACCGGTTGCCGGTCGTAAAAGATCGCTCGTGAATATGCAACGAAGCGAATGCTCTGAGAAGCGAAATGAGTAATATAGGAAAGGTATAATGAGTGGCTGATTATGATGTAAGCGGTTTATCCGAGCGTAATGATTCGGGGAGCAGATTGCAGACCGACGAATACGCCTTTACTTTCTACCTTTACACCCATTGTCCGCAGCCATTGTCGGCCAATGCGACACGATTATTCACCGTTCTCCTCGATGTCTGACCTTTTCCACGTGATATTTATAAGATTTGCTACACGACGACCGTGACTTTAGGTGAGGTCGTTATGCAAATTACGCGACCTTACATTTATTATACCTGTTAAGTACCTACGTCGAATCGGTGTTTCGGCAGCGTATAACGCCATTCGAGAAACAGACGAGCGGAATGGATTAGCATGTAAAATAGGTTTCCAGGTTAAAAAAGTGCTCGATTCTTTCAGATTAGTCAAAGATTATTATTCGAGAATCGATTGGCTATTGCTCTCGAAAAGTTTGTATAACGCTTCTTAGAAGAGAATTGTGATTGGTTGAGAATAAAATGTGACATGTATCATCCAATTAATCGAGTGAAATTTTTGTTAGCACGTTGGCAGGAATGCCTTTACATGAACAGGAAGGAAGTGGTTGAATTTCTAACTGCGATAGAAAGAAGTGAGCCGTACGAAATAAAAATAATCGCGTTGTACGTTGTTATGCCAAACAATTTTGTATAATCATATAATTGTATAATTTTTCAATTTTTCATAATTGTTAACTTAACGAGATTATATTTATTTTTCGAATACGTAGCTTCAAACAATATGGTAAATCTAACCTTTATATTTTGTAGTCTCGTTCTTGCTTATAAACTTTATTATTTGATTGAAAAATAACCTAATTGTAAAAGTATATCGATACATTTAAATATAGTGAACGGTTTAATCGATCAAATTATAATTAGAAGTGAAAATATTTTTAGAATTAAAATTCTGCGTAATATAATTACGTGTCAACTTGTAGAAAACACTTATTTGATCGAAATGTGATCAATTTTTCGATAATCGTTCGATACCAGCAGCTTTAACGGATTTAATTTATTATAGACATGGAATTGTCACGTATTTAACAAGAACGATAACAGTGCAGATATAAGATTTGTGGGACAGTGGCTTGGATTTGCATATTGGGTCGATGCGATATCTTAATCGTGGTTTACAATAAATGTACCTACTTAAAAGTTGCGAATGAATCAATATTCACTTAATATTCTATACATGTATAACACTCGTGTTATAATCATTCTTTGAATGATCGCAAAATCACGTTTGAATAATTTTAATTTTTTTTTTTTTAGGTTTAATATATCTCTGATCATTTCTAAAATTTTTTAAAAATAAATCCACGAAAATGAAATGAACGAGTACACATGCACTTGATATTACTTATCGACACGTGGCTATTATCGAGCAAAAAAAAAAAAGTGTAATCATCGTATCACCGATAATAATCATTAAAACTATAAAAATGAATTACTGAATTTCGATTGTTTACTATCGATAATTATATATTTACTAGTCAGATGGTTAATGTGATTTCAATGATGTATGGTATGTACACACCTTGATACACATCTCTATCGCTTTTATCTTTCAATTTAATAAATAGAGAGTAAAATTTCAAGATTATGTATCTATTGCATCATTGTACATTTATTATTAGAAAATCGTGTAATTTAGTTTCTGCAATCAATTGAACATTATCGAAAGTCATTAATCTTTTAGTTCTATTGGCGATTAAATTGCAAAGAATTGATCGTAGTAGAACATTGGAACGTGTCCTTGGTGAACAAAAAAAAAAAAAAAAAACGATGACGATACACAAAGATTGATTCTCGATTTAATCGATTTAATGTACGCCAAAATAATTTTTCACACTTTCAATTTTTTATATTTCGAATACAATTTATTTTTCTCAATTTCAAATATAAAATCTTATATTGAAATAATTTTCTTTTCACGATTTCTAGTCAATTTTGCGTCAACTTTGCGACATACTCGCGTATTTTATCGCGACGATAAAAAAATTAAGTGACTCAGGTACACTTACTTTTCACAAGTTTTGAAATATATATATATATATATATATATATATATATATATATATATATTCGCAATTTTAGGTGCTTCTGCACTCGCACGGAGGCGACATTCCTCGATTGCGTGGAGTTAATACGACTCGAGGGAGCGATCGTTTCGTCTTTCGAACACGTGTGTTCTTATCAGTGGTCATTTTTTTTTTCTCAGGACACGATAACAGTACTCGCAAAGCGTAATTTCCGTTCATGGCTTTTCGAGGAAACTTTGCTTTGCGAAATTACATGATTCGTAATCACGCTCTTTGTCAAATGGAAATTACATCTCTTACATAGACAAGCCGCTTTAGAAGATTTAACGTTTTAAATATTCTCCTATCTTTAAATTTTATGCAACGATAAATAATAACAGTAAAACTTTAATTCTAAAATAAGGATTACGAGTATAAACTATAAGAATAACGAACGATAGTTAAAGTTCTGCGAACTTTTTAAACGTCTTCTCTTCTTTCATCGTTTTGCCAAAGGTATAAAATATATAAGCAGACGCGTTAACAATAGGACGGAATGAGTTGAAATTAAATAGTTATATAATAACATCGAAAACATCGTTTTTAAGGTACAAAAAGGGAAGGCCGAGGAACACGGTTTAATGGCGGTGAGCCGGCGTGAAAGGGGGCGCGCATTTCTATGTTTTTGTAGAAACCACAAGTGAATTCGCGGCAACGATCCGGCGCACCTGCGTTTCGTTTCGCATGATATCACAGCCATGCGATAAATTTTCATTGCCACGCGTGTAGGAATAAACTTTTATTGACCATTGAACGGTTTGAATTTAAACGCGCCGCGTATACGCGCGCATAACCGCGCGTAACGACTACACACGTATACGCAACTATATCCCCGGGTTTAAAGGACTATGAATGTCTAGCACTATCGTTTAAGAAAATATGTCGTTTATGTTTCGAACGATTACACGAGTGGTCTACGCGGGAAAAAATTTCAGGCAAATTGAATGTGTGTAATTTGTAGAGATGGAATGCTTGAATCCTTGAAATCCGTCGAAAAAATCCGTTCTCCAAAAACATTTTCTTACTTTTTGCGATTCGAAATTTTGAGGTTAGGCGAAGAATAATTTATATAAAGGTATAAATTGTGAAAATTACGTGATTATATCACGACGATTGTAATAAAAGTTGATTAGATTAGACTAATAAATATCATTTTTTAATAATTTGTTTCAGAAATATTTATCTCGAAGAATACTTTGAAACAAGAATACCGCATGATGTCGATCAAAACGATGTCAAGAATATCCTGCGGTAATCGTAAGTCACTTTATTCAAATGAATCGAAACTAGTATTTATTGAACGTGCTATATAAGGTGCACTTAAAAAAAACATATGTGTCAAATCATTTGAATTTCTAAGGCGAGAAGGTGTGACTATCGTTAATGCGACAATAATTATGACGTGCAAAGTTGAATCCGTGAATCAATGGTGTTAATGCGCAAACACTTATCAAAGCGAAGTTAAGTTGTTGGGAATGTACTGTGTAACATATGTTATTTTTATAATTTTGTGTTCAATTTTTTGAACGCGTTGTATGAATAAAATAAATAAGTTATTTAATAACAATAACAGTAATTTTTTACTGTATCATATAATAATTACTAAATGATCGGATCAATTTTGTTTAATTTTTGAAGAAAAGAAGAAGAGACTTTACACAAAGAAATCGTTTTAAAACATTCGATATTTATATTTCCAAGAAACGATTGACGAGAACTTCTAGAGACCTTGATCGCAATCAAGAAAGATGCGTGCATGCATTTTTCTTTCAATCATCAATGATAGGAATTCGCCTCAGGATTCGCATACGCACTGTGTTACAATGACATTCCTTGAAGATTCGAACCATAATTTCCGTGCAGTGACAGAAGAACAGGTTCTTTCATTCTTTCTCTTAGTTTCTTAGTTATTTTAAAATTATCTTGCTTTGTTTGTATAGGATGAAAGTAATAGAATGTAAAAAATATATGTAAGATGTATTTGCGACGAATAAAAATGGAACAAATTCTATTAAGATTTTTAATTAATAAGTTGGATAACGATGCAATAAAGTTAATCAGAAATCGACATTAGTCTTTCGAGCGTAAAAATTTTGTAGAATAACTACAGACAAGGAGAGCAAGTAATACGAGAAGGATGGAAATAGGATAAAAATTGTGGATTTAGCGCCATCTCCAGAGTGCCGCAAATAAAACACAAAGAAGGCAAATACAAAGAAAAAGATAGATATAAGGTAAGAAATAACTATTAATACCATCTCTTGAGTACCAGAGATATCTTTTCAGAAATATGGTAAAACAGAGTAAGAATTAAGAATTGACGCCATCTCTCGAATACCAGAGATATCTTTTTAGGAATATGGTAAGATAGAATAAGAATTAAGAATTGGCGCCATCTTTGATTATTTTTGGAATAGTGTCTTTTATATTCGAAAGATGGTATTGAATGTTAATTCTTATTTCTATTTTTCTCCTAGTATTTGCCCTTCTCGTCTTCTTGTGTTTCATTTGCGGTATTCTGAAGATGGTGCTGATTCTATAATTTTTATTCTATCTCCATCCTTCATTTATTTTCCTTTTCTATACAGTCACTCTATAAATTTATGCGCTCAAAAGATGGCGTTGATTTCTGATTAACTTTATTGTACAATTTATCGATTAAAAATCTTCTCTACTTTTCTTTCTTTTTTTTCTTAAGAGAGAAAGATTTAAATTATTAATATATCTCTTACAATATAATAGTTTTCTTTAAGAAGAAAATTCCTTTAAGATAATTCGCGTGAAATGAAGAAATTCATAGAGTAAAAAGTAGTTAAAAGTAAAATAAAAATGAAAAACATTTGTAAGAAACGAGGATATACAAATGTGGAGAAATATATGATTCATAAAATCCGAGAGGTGGTTTGTATTGACATATGAGGGCCCTAAACGATCTACGCTCGACTTTGGTCGATTTGTAGATGGAACGAGATATATTATTTTAGTTTCAGGTTTACACAAAAGGCCCTTCGTGCTGTTTATTTAACTTGATGTTCTTTATCCTTCTTTCCTTACCACGTCTTTTTTCCTCTGTTTCCATTCCGGAAGCCGCATTAATTTTTTTTTCTTTCGAACAATACTTTGAAGTTTCCGCGAAATTAATATTTTTGAAATTAAATAAAATTATTAATTAAAAAATCTTATACCATGTATGATTATTAAGACAATTCTATATTTAATTTTTCTTCGCGTTGTTGATCGTGAAAATAATTCTAAAAGATAATAAACATAATAATTGCAGTTTATAACTGTATAGAAATATTTTATTGGACTAGTATTTACGCTTTGGTTACAATAATGTGATCTAATCTAAAGATATTACAATAAATGTCCTTAAAATGAATATAGATCAATAAATATTAAAAAGATAGATAAGGCACTCTGAAATAAATATAAATTTTCATTTTCACGATTTTATATAATAACGCTGTTGCAAGTGAAGAAATTTTTTTCTTTTTTTTTGTTCACGAACAGAATGTTCTTTTCTCGTATATCCCTTCGATAAAAAAGCTTTATTAGAAATAGGAAAGCGACTCGTGATTATGACGTAGTGACATGGCTTGATGATGTCCAGAATGATGGAAATTCTGGATCTCGTGTGCTCCCTGCTGACCACGGTACTGATTAGGACTCGATGAAGTTGACGATGATACGTTACAACTGTTGTTCATCAACATGGAAGAGTTACCACTTTGAAAAGTAAACGGCCATGACTACGACAAAAATATAAGAAAGATATTTATAAAATTTCCCTTTTTAATTACTAATTTTTTCAAAATCACATCGAAGTAGATATTTTAATTTAAAAAATTTTTTTCCTTTTATGCGTTTTTTCATCGCATACTTTTTTTAATAATTTTCAATTTATGTAATTCTTTTTTTAATAATTCTATCATTGGATCGATAGAAAATATAATTTCGATTGATTCTTGAATGCAAAAGGAATAAACGATCGTTCTTCGAATAATGGTACTAATTTAGAATTAATGGTGGAAAAGGATGTGGAGGAAGCTTTGAAAGTGATTCGATCCACCTGGACAGACGTAAACAGAGAACGTCTCTAAGAAAATGACGTTATGACGCCGACTGGATCCACCTGGATTCTTTGTTGTTTCACGGCTCTTTAATCGTGACACGAAAGATTGCAATTATGCAAAAAAAAAAAAAAAAAAAAAAAAAGAAACAAAAAACGAACAAAAAATACCTTGCTCCACTTATTTTCCGCTTGCTGTTTAAAATTTCGAAATTTCTTAATAACAATAATAATAATAATAATTTTTCGTCAACAATATTGCGATATATGACCCATTTGTGTAAGTTAAAAATAAAAAAAAAATTACAAAATACCATATGAAACAAATCAAGACAAAATAAGAAGAAATTTGATTTGAAGATCGAATAATAATATATATCGAATAAATTATCTGCGAGATCGTTACGTCAGATTAAAAACCGTAAGAAAAATTTGAAACCTCGATCGTTGTTGTCCTTCTTTTCAATTCAATCAGACAATTATTGTAAATAACTGTTTTTTTTTTTTTCTTTCTTTCTTTCTTTTTCAAATAAAAACTTACTAGAGCCAAAGACAAAGATCTGGTCTCGGAATGCGCGTCCGTGTCGTCTCTGAGAACCGCTCGAAGATGAGCGATGTACGTAGCCGCCAGGCGGAGGGTGTCCAATTTGCTGAGTTTCGTGTCGGCCGGTACCCAAGGTAAAGTCGTTTTTAATCTGCAAAACGCCTTGCTTAGCACCCTCATTCGAGCCCGTTCCCTAGCGTTAGCCGCGTTCCTCGGCGCACGGCTCTCCAAATCATCCTTGCTGTACTTCCCCTCGGATGCGAATTCGTCTTCGTCCGCTTCCAACGTCGGCGTCGAGGCGCGTCGCTTGCGTGGCATCTTCTGCAATCATTAGTTCAATCCCACCGTTTTTACCAATTGTATCGTTTTTTCAATCCTCCTCGAACTCGTTCACCCGCGACATTGTTATTTTATATTTGAGAATGTTCGTTTATTGAAGAACTTGGTTGGAACTTGGTGCTTGGTATCGATGGAAGAATAACAATGGACAGCCTCGATATATAATTTAATAAAAAAATAATATTAATAAAATTTACGTTGTAAAATTGGTTCTGGAAATACGATTTTAATGGAGGATTCGTCGAAGAGGCGACACCGCGACACCGATTTTCTTCGCGAAGTGAGTGAAACTTGGCAGGGGGGAAGGGGAGAGGGGGGGGAGGAGATGGAATAGCTCACCTTATTCCGCGACGAGACTTTTGACTTTTTTTTTTTTTCTCCCCTCGGCTCGTATTAATGGGATGTCACGATGGATCGCGACGCTCGCGCGAAACTAATTGTACGTGAAAAGTTTCGGCCAGAAGAAGAGGAGGGCGCCGAGAGGGGAGGAGGAAGGAAGAGGAAAGAAAACGAAGATTGGCAGGGAAGAGGGAGATTTGGGACGCCTCTGAAAATCGGGCGGAGCTTTCTCGACAACGAGAAGTGTCTTCCTTCTTGGCTTGGCCACTTCTCGTCCTCCTACTTCGCTTTTCCTGGGGGTTTTCGTCCAATCGTTTGGTACTGCGTCATCTGCAGCCACCTGGTCCATCCTTTCCTATTCCGTCCTCTTTCCGAGTACGTATTCACGAATACGTGTTTTCTTCTCTTCTCTTTTCTTTTCTTTCCTTTTCGTGTGGAATTTGACTTTTGCTCTGATTTTTTTTCTTCTCCGGATGTCCGGATGTCGTATTTTTTTTTTTTTAATTAAGTTACGATCTTCTTCGTTTTCGATCAAATTGTTGTGCGTCGGATCGAAAGTTAGATCGCGATTAATTTTAGAAACGAAAGGTGTGTAATTGATTTTTAAGGTTAAAAAGATTATTCGTTTTAAGAATTTTTATTTTTATTCGAATCGTGATCCAATTTGCTCTTTTCTCATTTAAACGGAGAAGATTCAGTTCGTGCAAACACGCGCGCATTATATATTAGATATGTATATATATTCATATATATTAATATTTGTTTGATTAAATCATCTCTGAAACTAAGGTTCTATTCCATTTATCTTTTAATATTACTACTTTTTCCCATTCAGAGATTTCTATTAAAAGGAAAAAAAAAATCGATCCATTAATCGTATTTAAATCCTTGTAAACGGGCTGTCAACCATTTCGTTGAAAGGAGGATTCGAAATGGATCCTGTAATATGAGGTGTGCGGTGACCCTGCTGATCCCACTTAACATCCTGAAGCAGGAGTTGACTTATTGCTCGACAAATTCGTTCCTTCGCAATTTGATACATTTCTATGTAATTGGTCATGTTTCTTTCTCAAGATATATATATACATGTATTTGTAACTATGCACCCGTGTAGAATGGAATTTAAAAAAAAAAAAGAAAGCATAAAAATTAAAATGAGATCGAATTTCATTGAAAAATTGGAATTTTGCATCGTTTCTTTACGCTGTACATTCTTTATTACTTGACAACTAAATTAAATTATATTTTAAGAAATAAATATATATAAATATTATAATATTTTAAATAAATATATTTATTGAATAAATATACGTTTTTATAAAAGAAAGGATTTTCAGGCATAAACAAAAAAGTATTAGATAGAAAATCACAAATTACTTATGGTTTTCACCTGTATTCTATATTTATGGGGATATTTGCATATAGATGTCGACGCTGTAATCATCCGAATCAAATTCTCGATCGCAGAAATCTGTAAAAGGTACGTAAAATATCTAAGAGTGTTATTTTTTTATTATTTAATTATAATTTTTTTTATAATAATATAATATATTTATACGTACATTGTTGCAAATTTGAACGTAATATCGTAGTTTATAATTTTACCGTAGGAAGGCGCTCGTGGAGCAAGTTAAAAATGGCTGATGATATACGAATGCATTTGCGAATCGCGAGTCGATTCGTGTTCTTCGGTCGTTACTTTTTGTGATTTTCTCACGTGTAGTGGTATTTCTTTGCGTGTTTGTAAAATATTAATAATATTAATTCAAATTTTTCCATGTATAACAATTAATTGGAAAGGAACAAAGGAAATAAAATATTCGGAATATTTTAACGAAAGTTCCCGAAGGTGATTCATTGTCTAACTGAATTTTTAGCTTAGAAAGATCGTGTTTTGGAGAAAATTCGTAAGTACCAAAATAGTAATAATCAATAACTAAATTATTTGATACTGATTTTTTTTATGTAATTATGTACTTTAAAGAGGTTAGGTTGTATATTTGTATACGAAACATGATAAAGTTCAATATTACAAAATCAATAATTGTTTATGTGTTATTTAAATCATTTTTTTTTAATGAATGTTACATAAATACTTGTAAAAACTTCTAAATTAAATATTTGTTTAAAATTTTACTCGAAATAATGTAAAACGCGAAAGTTTTCTTTGTTAATATAATGAAGAAAAAAATAAAGAACATTATGTTAATTAATTTAGATCGATTTCTAAGTAAGAATGCAATATTACGATTTTACAGTTACATTACGAATAAAATTTTAATTAAATATGACTGAAGAACACCAATTGCCCTCTGATTCTGATGAAGATGATGAAGATTATATTCCCGATGGTGCAGATAGTGAGCCAGTATCCGAAGTAGAATCTGAAGGTGATGCAGAGAGTGGTCCTGAAGATGAGAATGATGAAAACCAAAGAGAAACGACAAAGAAAAGAGGAAGAAAGAAAAATAAAGTTATAAAATCTAAAATTAGAAAGCGTAGAAGAACAAGGAAAAAGATAACAGAGAATAAGAATGATGAAAAAGAGGAAAAACAACAAAAAGAAGAATCTATCGAGAAAAAAGAACTTACCGAAGAAGAGGAGAAAAAAAGGGCTGATTCTCTTTGGGCTGATTTTATGAAAGACACAGGTAATTAATTTCAATTATGTATTTAATACTTAGTTAATTATAATTAATGAAATATATACGTATATATATATATTGTATATTTTTTGTATTTTTTAAAGCAATGACACCTAAACCTAAGCAACAAAATGTAACAAATAAATCTAAAGAGAGATCTCCATCTATAGAAAAGCCAAAAGTGGAAGAAAAAGTAAAAATAACTAAAGTATTTGAATTTGCTGGTGAAGAAGTAAAAGTAGAAAAAGAAGTCTCCATAGATTCGGCAGAAGCAAGAATATCTCTATCCTCTGCTGAGAATTCTGAGAAAACAGGAAATTCTGGATCTCCTGCGGGTAGAGGATCTGGAAGAGGTAGAGGTTTCAAACGGGCTGGTTTAGGGGGTATTTCTTCTGTCCTTGGTCAATTAGGAAAGAAGGCGAAAATTAGTACGTTAGAAAAGTCCAAACTAGATTGGGATAATTATAAGAAACAAGAGAATTTGGAGGAAGAAATTAGTACTCATAACAAAGGCAAGGATGGATATTTAGAACGTCAAGATTTCTTACAAAGGGCAGATTTGCGACAGTTTGAAATTGAAAAGCAATTACGTAATGCAAATAGACGTAGTACACGGTGAATTTATAATTTTATGTATATATATTTTATATATATATATATATCTTCCCTAACAATGAGAACCAGAAATGGTATTGAGAAAAATATCTTATTAGAATTGCCAATTATTGGCGCTTGTAGCACATATTTACTCGAATTGTTTAAACTCTTACTAAATATCTCATGCCATGTATAAAAATGTGATTGCCTCGCTTGGCTTGACAATCGGCTGGATCTGGTTAAGAAACGGTTGAGAGCCAATTCTGTGAGAAGAGACTGATCATTCCAATGTATCGAAGATAATATAGTACGTTATGTAATAGTCTAATGTATCATCTGCGAGCGTTGTCTCGATCCATTATATCACAGAACTTCGCATCGAAGCAGGATGTTTGAAGCTTGGTGCTTCGGAGACCGACGATATATATTCTAACAATAAACAAGCTCCAGAGATGTTTTTATTCCATTTCAGTGGAAGAAAGGATGATTGATGACAGTGTAGATTAGTGTAGGTATTTAATAAAGTGTCGTTTGAATGATAAATGAATACATATATACCAGTATGTATTCTAGTATGTATGCCTTAGAAATAATCATGACATTTTTCTTCATTTACGATCACTGCCTTGGGCGAGTCACGAGAAACATTTTATTATATTTATAGACGAGATAGAAAACCTAGATTATTGTTACAGAATTACAAATGAGAGATTACAGTAATTGTTTTATATTTTTTCAACTATATCTATTTATCATATTTATTCACAAAATTACGACATGGCATATCTGCGAAAAATAACATGTCAATATAGTTCAATCATTAATTCATTTGAAAAAAAATCAATTTTTAAAGCTCAGGTTTACAATTTCTAGAATATTTGTAAAAAATAATGTCTTACGGATGTGTATGAAATTTCTTTATGTCTATGGACTATTTAACATCGTAAAAATAAAGATGTACGTTAAATATTTAAACCATTTTATATTCATGGCTTAATAGCATTAATTTATATATATATAAATTATATATATATATATATATATGTGATTGAAAACATCAAACATATACTGTTTACTGTTTATCGTTTACGTTGCGTCCTTCGCTTGGCGATGTACTTTTTTCTCCGTTTTTTTCTTTAACATAAAGGAATCTTTAAATTTATTATACATCCTGTAAGAAATGATCGACATTTGGACGCTATTTAATATTTCATACAAATTATCGATTTATAATTTACATTCACTATTACTTAATTATACAAACCAATATAAATTCAAAATATCTCTTAGTCTCGTTGTATACGAATGGATTTCGTGGTATATAATAACCAACAATAAAAAAACCCTATTCGTTTATACATCGAGCCTTTGAGTAGCTATATTGATTTTGTAAGCAAATATAGACGAAATATTTATCAGAAGTACCGTTTTCATCGTTACCTTTATTTAGCAAAATTTCACTTTCCTTTTCTCCTGAAATGAAAGAATACGAATTTACTTTTTTTTCAATATAGTATTATAGATTATTTTCGTGTTCACAATAATTTCACAAATATTTACCATAATTCGATTTTGATTTCGAAAAGAATTTCCGCAACATCGGTGTTCAATATATTCATTTTTATTTTTTTTACTAAAATAAAAATAATTATTAGCAATACTTTGTCAATAATCATGTTACGATTATGTTAATTTTTCATACCGAGTTCTAAATTTTCGTATTTTATTACGTAACCTGGAGAATCCTTTGACAAATATATTTTTCTTTGGACTAAATTTCAAGTATGAAAACGTTATTTCGTATACTATATAAAAATATTTATTATGTTAATGATTCTAACCTTTGTTCACGGTATTTTGGGCATAATGTTCCTTTAAACGGCTTTTCTTTATTATTAGAATAGCAATAATCTATCGAATCTTTTTTTTTCTTTTTTATCTAAAATAAAAATTGAATTTTATCAGATCGTATTATCGCGAATATTGTCGCGAATGAATTTTTTTCTTGATTTTAATATAATGATTATGATTTTTGTAAAAAATAATGAGTAATTTTAAACGATATATATATATTACTTTTTCCCTTATACAGCAACAGTCATTATATTTTGAAAGAAATGTGCACGTTGACGAACATTTGCACAATTTTTTTAAGTCTTCTGAACTGGATTTTTTAATGCATTTACAAGAAATTGATTGTTCTATAATCTTTATGCATTTTCGTGAATTTGGAGTTACTTTATCAATTATTTTTTTTGCCTTACTTTCTTTGCAAATTATTCTTTTGGGACATTGACATATTATTTTTGGGGTCGGTTTTGGGATCGCGTTGCAGGTTTTTGTTCTGTAATTCAAAGATTAAGATATTAGACAGATAAATTGTGTCCAAAAGAAAAAATTTAAAGAAATGAGAATAGAAATAAGAATCTTAAAGAATTAGAAAAACTATTCCTTTTCGTATAGTAGATGGATGAAATAAAGATTATAATTTATTTATCATCCTCTCACCGACATATCGACAATGACGTAGTACTTTCTATGGATTTCGTAGTTTGACATTTTTTGCTAGAAATCAAATGAAAATTTTTAGACATAAATTAATACATCGTTCTCTTCATTCCTTCAAGTAATAACAATTTTTAAAAAAGATTGAAATGCTAAAATTTTTTTCTACATACTTTAAATTATTCAATTTTTTTTTCAATTTCTTCTTCTGCTTTTTTATTTCTTTCTTCTTTTTCTTATTAATTAACGTAGTTGTTGAAGTACTCGCATTATATCTCCTTGAACGATAATGTTTTTATATAAAACTTACATTACGTGTAAAAAAATATATATATATAAATAATTTTTAGTAATACTTTATACAAGGATGGTTTGCCGGACATGTTGGATCCTTACATATTCTTCTCATTTTTCGTTACTCTCTTTCAAATTTTAACCTGATAAATATTCAAAGATGATGTATATACATACGTAATACGAATCTTACTACTGTTAGATCGAATAAAATTTATATTATATTAATTATCGAAGAATGATGTATTGCTTAGATTAAGATTTAAACGATCACTTACTTGTGTAGATTTTTCATTAACCTCCCGATTTCGCGGAGGACGTAAACCTCAACATTTCTTTCTCTTTTTATTATAACGTACATATTCTAAACAGTATTTGTTCATTTTAGTAAGGAATACCAATCGGTGCAAAATATTTCTTCGTCGTAATTTATCATTTTTCAATAATTTAAAAACGCGAGTTCCATGTAAATGACCTAACCTTGATTTTACTCACTGCTTTGACAAGTCTGATCTTGTCGAGAATATTATTTTTCCGAAACTCCGTTTCGAGTTCAATTATCGCGAAAATCGATCGATCGAATTATATCTCGCCAGCTCGATGCAACATTCCGATCCCCAAACATTGTTATCTTGACGTCTCGACATTAGCTAAACGGATCGATTAAATATCTGATCCCTCGTATCAAATATCGGGGCAAATTCTATTATAATAGCGACATAATGAACGATCGTCGTACGATTGATTTTTGATTCCGATTGACATTATTTTCGCGATAACTTTGCATCGCGTGTAAAACAACTCATGATAATATCAAACTTACAAACATTTATTCGCGAATTTATCAACATTTTATCCATGATTATTTTACAGGAAGGAAAATTTGTATTTCTCTTTACAGAAAATCAATGCTCGTTTCCGATTCAATCGTATATATGATATAAAGAGAAGAAAATGTATAACCTCTACGAATAATTCGAAACAGCAAGTGTAACAAGAATCTCACAATTTTAGAGAAATTTAAATACGATTCTTACAAAGAAGAAGAAGAAGAAGAAGAAGAAGAGACGAAAAATCTTGTTCGAAGTAAGTTTCTCCTTTAAAAAGAATAAAAGAGCAATTCTTCCTTTTATCTCAACACGTCATCGCGAAAAAACATCTATTAAAATCCACTTTGCGATCTTTTCGTATCAAAGCGGTCAAATACGCGTGGAATTAATTAAACCAGCGGATCGAGTCGTGTGCGAGTCGCGAATTTTTCAAGCGCCTGAGGCCACGTCGCTTTTCTTTTTCCCCTCCCCCCTTCTTCCTAAATGATTCTCGCGATCTCGAAGGTGTCGCGAGCGTCGTAAAGTTGAATTACCATGATTCCACGCTGTTTGGATCAGCGGCGACGGGAGGACAAAGGAGGGGAGGCGGGCGAAAGAGGAAGCCACGCGAACCGGAGGCGGATCGTTGGATCGTGTGTGCAAAAGCGGGAATATCGACGCCAGACTGGCGGCCGTTAGTCGTGGCCTTGCCATCGGCAGTTTATACACGAAGCGGAATATCTGCTCAACCGTTCGTTCCTTGGCCAACTTCCATTCTTTTCAACGCACCTCGAACAACTAACCTCTCCTTTTTCGTCAGAGAGAGAGAGAGAGAGAATGCACTTGTTACTTTCCCGATTGCTCGAGAAGAGCGCACGTGCATACATACGTGGCGAGATTAAGTTTGATCGAGGCGTTGAAAGCGTCTCTTTGTTCGGATCGGTCGGTGTTACTTGAATTTGACGAGCGACCGGAAATTGGAATTCAAGTGGAGGGTAATTTGACTTGAAAACGAGGAAAAACTTTCCGTCTCGGATCCGGTCAAATCGTTATCGTTCGAGTAACTCGAATCAAGTTGGGACGTGGTATTAAAAATGATGATGTGTGTTGGAATGCGTATCGATAAATCTAATATCTACTATACCATTGTAACTAATTATCTTCCAAAACGAGGGCTTATCTTGATCTTGTTCTATCCACGCACATAGGTACGCAAAATGGAGAATAAAATGAAATACAACTAAACCGAAGAGAATCGAATTATTATTCTATTCCTTCAAAATCACCTAATTATATTTATCTCTAAGATAGTTATATTTTTCCCTTAAAAAAAAAAAAAAAAAAAATAGCGGATAATAAGCGATTTCTGTTCACCTCAGAACAGAATTTTTCTTAACCTTCCATCGAAGGACGTCGAGTTTTGCGAAATTCGTGTATTGATTTTAAATAAAAAGATCTTGTAATATTTAATCACTTTTACATAGCTAAGCTTTCAAACAAAGCTTTATTAAAACCAGAACAATCGGTCGTTTACAGAATGTAACGGATAATTGCTTCGACTCGTCGCGAGACAGAGTGATAAAGGTATCGTACAAAATAATAATTAAGAGCTTTGAACCGAGCTTTCAACACGAAAACCATTATTTTTTAAGCGAAATGAGCCTTCAATACGATTCGCGACGTTCCTTAATGGACACGCGTGAAAAGATATTCTTTGTGCTCTTTATTGGGCAAAAGTGTGCGTTTTATAAGGCGTCGTGGAAAATCGCCTCTTTGCGTTTCTTCGACATTTAGGAACAATTAGGAATGAAACTTTGAACCTTCGCCTTCGCCTACACTCCGTTTTGCGGATAATTACGACGAAAGGGTGGTGGACTTTTGCAATTGACGCGCAATGGTCACGAAAAAAGAGAGGAAAAAAAGAAAAGAAAAGAAAAGAAAAGTCTCTCCCGTTTTATCGAATAACATAAATTACAAAGGGATCGTGATAATAAAAAGCGCTGCGAGCCCTCAAAGTAAATTACGCAAGGTTGGATGTCGTACGTTGGATGATCTAAAAGCGAATTTGCGGGGCGGAGGTGTTATTTTGTATAAAAGGGACGTTCAACAAAGGAATTATAATAGTAAAGGTATAACGGTATAGATGGAAACGAACGACGACTTGGTTGGGGGTTGTTTAATTCCGTTCCGTATTGGAAAACTCTTTTTCTCTTTTTTCTCCAGGAGGAGGGGAGGAGGGGCGAATCGATAGATAGATTATCGAAACAGTTGTGGATTTAATTATAATATCTGATGGACGAGACATCGTTACGTATAAAAAAGGTAGAGATAATGAGCAATTACAACTAGGTAGTTATAAATATATAATTTATCAGGAAAATAAAATTATTAATCTTTCTTCTCAAAGTGAATTATATTCTAGCAAGACCTCCATCGAGATAAATTATATGTTCACAATCGTAATGATATTATATAATCTATAAGTCGTTGTTTTGTAAAAAATATTTAATTTTTCCAATTTTGATATTTTTTTTTTTTATTGTTGTACATACCAATTGTTAATTAGAGGTACCTTTTAGTTGACGAGACGAACAACAACGTGACAAACGGAGGATAATTAATGCTGTATTTTTGTTCGGGTGTGCTTCCTTTAGGGGTAAGGGTAATTTCGGCGCACCTGAAGGAATCTCCTTGAAGGCAAAAACGAGAAGATCTATTCTCATTCTCTCGTCCCTCCTTCCAGTGATCAAGAATCCACTCCCGGTTTCGTAGATTTTTTTCTACCAAACCGGGGATAAAATTCAGTGACGTAACGTGCTTAAAATCAATCCACGTACACGATATATTTTTTTCTTCCTAATTTTATTTGGTCGTTCCGTGAGTAAGTAACATCAGTTTCAAAAGTTTCAAAAGTTTCAGTCTCCATTTCCAGTAAAGAATTTTTTTTAGCGAGCGTTTGGGAACAAAAAATCAAATCGACAATCAGATCTTTCATAGAAATTAAAAGGTTAGACGAGTTTTACGAGGAAAACATTTAGCACGGATGTGAACAGATACTGACGTTTACTTGCAACGAAGTTCGTAGGGTGCTGTTACGAGCGAGTGTAGCTTTTGAATACGCCACTGATAAAATTCCAGGAATTCCTTTTGCCAGAAGCAGACTAGACGAGACTGGCAATAAGATTGATTCGCACTACCAAGATTCCAACGTCTGGTTTTATATACCTTGCGTGCCAACCAAACAGTCCGGAATTAAAGTTTATTTTCCACTCTTTCCCGTAGAAACTTCTTATTAACAACGAGTGTTCCACTTTTCCTCCGTGTTTTCAGAATACAAGAAACTTTTAATATAAATATCATTTTATATTGCAGATTTCTTTTTTTTTTTTTTTTTTGTGAAATTTGAATATTGCTCCTTGTAGGAGTAATCAAAGTTTAGAATCGAAGTAAAGAAAGAAAGTTCGCGCATTCCATGAGGGTCTAAGGTCTAAAAAAGAAGAGAAGTCCACTCGTAAACGCAAAGACGTCCACTCGTGCCTAAAAGCACTTGGATCGGTATGTGGATCAATTATATCGAAGAAGAAACGTGGCACGAATTAATGCGCGCCAAGATATAACGCGTAAGAAAGGAAAGTCACGAGCTCGAAGTGGAACCATTCGACTCCTTTTTGCTATGTCCTTTCGTACTTAATTCCGACCCATGGCGCAAAGTATGCATCGCCGTTGCCATCTTCCTTTTAACGGCTCGTCCAGATGAAATAATTTCATCGGCCAACGACCATTGACATCCATTAAACGAATATTTCCTCTCCTTAGAAAAATATATTTTTTCCTCGATTCAACGACAGAAATAAAATATATATATGTATATACATTCTCTTCTCGCAAAATTTTAACAATCGGATTATAATTATGCCGCGAGAAATTATGAAAAAAACTTGAAAAGTTACATCGCCACATGGTCGATCGATTAAGTGCAGCGATGGGCAAAATTTAAGTTACGAATAATTAAAAGTTGCTTCGATAATAATTGTAGCGACAAACAACAAAGCCGAGGTTATGTGAGGAATGGATCAACTGTAATAGCTACGAATAAACAAAATTTGAAAATTTATACATTACATCATCACATCGATTAAGATGGGCAAAATTTAATAATTAAAGTTAATATCATTATAAAATAATTAAGAGTTGATAATAACTGTAACGGCAAATAACAAAGCCGAGGTTATGCGAGGAATGCATCAACTGTAATAGCTACGAATAAACAAAACTTGAAAATTTATACATTACATCACCAGATCGATTAAGATGGGCAAAATTTAATAATTAAAGTTAATATTATTATAAAATAATTAAGAATTGCTTCGATAATAGCGGCAAACAACAAAGTCGAGGTTATGCGAGGAATGGATCAACTGTAATAGCTACGAATAAACAAAATTTGAAAATTTATACATTACATCATCACATCGATTAAGATGGGCAAAATTTAATAATTAAAGTTAATATTATTATAAAATAATTAAGAGTTGCTTCGATAATAGCGGCAAACAACAAAGTCGAGGTTATATATAAGGAATGTATTAACTCAACGATAACGAATAAACGTACGTAATCGTAAATAATTACTCGAACTAATTTTACTCGGAAATTTTTAACCGGTCACTTTTTCAACAACTGATTAAGTGAATATTCTCGTCACGACGGAGCACGAGTTACCGTTGAACAGTCTCTCATCTTCCATCTTTCTTCCTGTCTTAACGTCCCTCCGTTACACCCTCCGCGTAAACGAGCGCCCTTCGGTTAAACGTTTCTAGGTGGCCACGAAAGAGAAGCTAGTGTCGGGAAGAGAGGCACACTGTTCGCTCTCTTCTTCTGTCTCAGAGCTAGCCTTTTCCATCTCGCTCCTTTCACAATCGTTCGCTCCTCGTCCAACTCATTCGAGCGGGCATGTTTTATGGATAGGCTTCTAGAGGTTTCGCGGCGCCAGCTCTTCCTCTTAGGATACATCGGCTGCCGCTATTACCGATCCGTGCCAACAACGTAAACGTAAACGAGACATTGGAATTATCGCCGGTTCTTCCACGCAATTCCCGTGGAATTCGAGGTAATATATATATCGGAAGTCGTTGGCTCGACGATGCGGATAATACCGTTCTCTATTGCGGATAAAATGTAGGCCGTAGAAAGTCAATAGGAAGTGTAGTTCCTATTATCGATCCGAGCAGATTTCTGTAATTAATTTATCTTTTATGTTGCGTAAAGGCTGAAAAAAAAGAAGACCGATTGTTGTTAGACTGAAATGGGGAAATTGGGATGTATGGAAAAGTGGAAAGTTTGTAGACTTTGATTGATCACTTTGAGTGGTTATGGATAGACCAGGAATAGGTATAAAGTTTAGTGATTTTTTTTTTTTTTTTAAAAATTTGTAATCAAGTTTCTTTATTTTCCGTGTTTAATTTTGTTCTCAATTCCTCGAAATTGATGAAAATATCAACAACATTATAGTTTCTTTGGATTTTCTTTCACGATAAAATTTTCTCTATAAAAGTTTCTTTTAATTATTTTAATTTCAAAGTATCGTATTTACAAATTTCTACAGTGTGGCGCATTATCTTGAGACGGTTAAAAGAACGATTAATGAAAGAGAGGAATGTCGATTTGAAAGGAGTTATAATTGAATGGTCTGGCCTGAGAATTTGGATGGACCGTTTTCGGTAACAGGTATCCTCATTTCCGATACATTAACCACGGCGAAGGACTCATTTTGAAACATCGATCCATAAAATTCGTCGAACAAGAATTATTCCTCTGACTCATACCCGTGATGTAACCTTCGTTCTTATCGCACTTTAAACAGGTGTGGCTGGATTTAAAAAAGGACTTCATGGACTTTCCATTCGGTAGCATAAAGATTGAAAAAAAGAGATATACACTTTTCACAACTACGCAGAGATTAATTTCAAATAACCTTTCCCAAAATAACCTGAATTTAATCCTGAAATACGTCAGACAAAAGCATCATAAAAAAAAACGCTCGTTAACAACAATTTATGTTTTACAATAAAATTTGCAATAAAGTTCAAAAAAACGATTTAAAAATTGGATCACGTTATTATGATGAATTGAAAGGGAAATGCAACAACTTGCTTCTGCAAACTGCGACCGAATACTACTAACTTCGAGGAGTCCAGTTGACGTAACCGATATTTTTAACCGAGCCCTTTTGTTTCACCGATGGTCCTGTTTTAATCTCGTCCTTCCACTTTGCTTCGTCCGTCGCTTTCACAACCGACGACCCCTCGTAATGTCAGCCCGAGTGTTTGATCTTTCAACGAGGTTTCCGCGAATTTCAAAGGTTCGTCTCGTGGAAGCGGCGTTTAAATTCCATGTACGGCCGAAGCGGCCGGAGAAAGGAATTTGTCGTCTGCAAGGCGACTCTTTAGATACGACTATTATGCGTCCTGCGAGGCAACCATTACAGAGTGAATACAAACGAGCTTCTGACGAAGGACCAAACTCTTCCTTCAGAAACGAAGCCCTTATTTTCGTAGGATAAACAGCTCCCGTGCAACACGTATCGGATGGAGATCCCCTTACGTCGGTTTTAATTCGCTAATCTCGGCTACTTTCACGGTGAGAAAACGTGCGCATTTGTGCACGATAATGTAATAACGACGTGACACAGTTTTCGTCGTCCTTAACCCGCGTGGAATGTTAGAAAATGACGGAGAGTAATGGGAAGAATAGGAAAAATAATGGGGAATGTTATTGGAGAAATAGTAGAGATTAAAGAGATGAAGAATTAGAATGTTACGTAGTCGCTCATATCTTGGAAATTATTATTTTGATATTGTATTTTAATGGGAATATTTAATTGGTGTATGTTCGATGCAAGTTCTCAATACTGGTTGAATTTATTAATTTTATTCGAGTAAAATAAATTTTATATATATATATATAAGTTACATAAGCGAGTTATATTGATAATTAGGTTAATCAACTCTTACGTAATATCGAAGATAGTATATAATATGCAACTTTATTTAAAGTAATATTATTTATTATAATTTATAATAATAATAATGATGATGAACACATCAGAGATATGTAATATCAAGAGAACGATATTAATTTAATAAAAATAGATAATAAAAGATAAGAATTAAGAAAAGAAGAAAATTAATGATTAACTTGTTTTACGTTAACAATACGTTGCTATCAATTGAATTTATCTGTATCGATATAAGTCGATATTTGTTTTCCAATAAATATTTCGTGTGATTTTGTCGAATCTAGAATTTTTTAAAAAATAAAATGTCAATGTAAAACTTTTAAATTGTTGGTATAATTAGATTGTTCTTGAAGCATAAGAAAAATTTTACTCGTTAAACGAGATCTTTTTCTCGGAAAAGAGTTAATTTATTAATATCCAATAGGAATTGGAGCAATTCCTATGATAATTCCTTCATCGGTAGTCGATAGCGATTAAATTTCAGAAATACCATGGTGTATGCGTATTCGGGGGGATGATAGGTATTCGGTTATTTCCGTCACCGTTCGGTTATGCTCGGCCTCAGCTACACCGCCCGGACCCGTCAGTCTCGCGCATGATTCCGTAGTGGAAGGAAGTGTTCTTTCGCTTCGGCGCTTAATTTTGTCGCGGAAAAAATCAATGGTATTTTCATAAACGACGAACGCTAAAACGATCAGTTTATTTTATCGAAGAAATCGTAAAGACCGTCAGGTGATAATTAAGTAGTGCATTAACATATATATATATATATATATAAATTGGTCAGTGATAAACGATTAGTGTCGAATCGCTCGTGATCGATTCCTTGTGTATATTTTGTCAAGGTGTTTTCTACCGTTCTTTGATCCGGATATTATGCTACCGATCGCGTGTGCTGCAAGATCGTTTTGACTCGAGGGGCAGTCGACCATAGATCACCGACAAAATGTTACCACAGACCCCTGACATCATTCCTACGACTTTAAATCAGGTAAGCAACACAATTTCAATATACTACTATTCCATTATTTCACTCGTATTGCGAACGTAACCTTCAACCTGAAACTCCGTTTCTTTCGATACACACAGTCGGTGTGTTTTTGCTCACGGTCAAAAGCGAATATTCTGTTTATATGACACGAGTTTTTTTGCTTGTCTATTCTAAGAATTTTTGACGCGTAAACTATACTCCAACAAATTTACTTCTTCTGTTTTTTTTTTTGTTTCGTAAACTCGTTTCGTCTGTATAGAGAAATTTGTGAAACGCGTTGACGTAATTCGTCACTTTTTATCGAAAGTTTCACGTAGTACATTGCAAGTGCGAGATATAACCGTTCGATTATATCGATTTACTAACAGTGACAAGTTCAAGGCATTAGTAACCGCCAAATTCTGGTTGCGAAATTTTTCGTTGAATAACCTTGTGTTACGAATCTTGTGAAACGTGAGTGTGGTATGATCGTTTTGTAAAATTTCGTTTAAAATGTACGAATTTCGTTGGGAATATCGCTAAATTAAATGGAATTGTATTAATAGTGATCTAATATAACAATACTATCAGAATGTTGGAGCAGTGTGCCACTCCTGTCAAGATGGCGTGGAAAAGACAAATATTTGCGGTTCATAGTTGCCGGTTCAAGAACATCGTCTTGTGGGAACAGAAAGTTCCTCATGTCACATCACGTTGTGTCAATATTATACACTTACATCCATAGTTCTTTTCAACGTAATAAACGTCAGTGGTAATTAGCGACGGATGACAGGTTAGTTCATCGATAATATCAGCAAAATCGATTAATTCGAATTCCAACGGATTATTTTGAACGCACGATCCCGGTTTGTCTCACTTACGTATAATATTGCATACTGGGGTTTCAGTAAACGGGTTTCCAGTTTCTTGACTTGCACGGAATCGTATTCGTTTGATAAAATATACATATTTAGAATTCCAAGTTTTACAACTAGTCGCAATAAGATACGATATATAATATATAATTAAAATGTTTATTGAAGGCATAATGAAATAGTTTATTTTTTTTTTTATTTGCGTATACGAAACTAGATACATAAATAATGGCAATGAATATCTTATTAGGAAATTATATATTATTCGTATTATTTTCTATTCCTATAATTTCGATATAATATTTACGTTTGAACTCTTTCAATTTTTACAAATCGATGAAAATCAAAATTATAATTATTAATTACACTTATTAATTATTTATTAATAAATGTAATTAATAAAAATAATAAGAACAAAAATGTATCATAAAAAATAAGATTCAAGTAAACGATTCCAATAAATTAGAAAATTTTGGGTATAATCTTAAAAAAGAATTTATTATAATTTTATTTAAATCTATCGTATCGATCATAAAAATAAAAAAGTATTTCAAAGAAAATGCACATTATTTTTTAATAACAATAGGAAAAAGATAGAAAGATATAAAATGATATTGAACATATAATGGTTTTGACTTTATGTATTCCAAATATATGACAATGGAATTCTCAGTTAAAGAATAAAGAAAAGGAAGTTACTTCATCTCTTATCCGCAATAAGTTATTTAAGTCGTTATTCTGGGAAATATATGTTTGTTTAATTAAACATGTCGGATTTTATTTAATTAAAAAAGAATAATTGGATTTTTCAACGAAATTAATCATGTTTATGACGGTTATCGTTTCAATTATGTTTAAATAGCGATAATTTTTTAACAATTTTTTTAATATTGATATCTTAATAATTTTTTTTTCTTTTTTGTAATATCAGTTTATTATTATTATATTTGCAATTTCAAGTAATCGTCCTTATCTTCATTAACGTAATAATCATAATTATTATTATTATCAGTGTAATTAACATTAACATGCCAGATACAATTTCCTTTCCCATCTAAACATTAAGCTTACGTTTCCATTAATATTCTTGCTATACTTTTTCCGTGTTCAAATTTATACGCAATAATTTTCCAAATATTCAAATTACTCTAATACTCTTATCATTAAAAATCTTATCATTAAATATATATTCGGTATATATAATTTATAATAATTTCCATTAATTCATTTTTTATCGATAATAATTATTCAAATATATATCAAATCATGTCAAAAAATCTCTTACATAATCATTCTAAAAACATATTTTCGATCTAATAAACACCCTACGTTTATTTTACACCCACAATTATCGAATATTCCTAATCACATCGAAAATAACACATGTGCATTCCGGTCTAACCGCAACCACATATCGATACTATTAATGATATCAACAGTATCGTCTCACTGTTAGTAAACGCCTTTCGTCTCGCGATTCCGCGCTCCAATTAGAAAAATGAAATCGCTACAGTTCCTCGATCGTTCGTTTGATCGACATCGATCATCCTTGTGATTGATTCACTTATATTACTCGATCGTTAGCATACTTCGAAACGATAAAAAAAAACAATTTTGCAAGATTCTCTTGCAAAAACCGGTTGATGGAACAATATCAATCTCTTCGAAGAATTTATTTATATATTGTATATGATAGAATATAAAGAAATAAAATGGAAAGACAGATTTTTTTTTTTTTAATATTCTCTTGACACGTCTGACGAATCGGAATTTCTTCGTTCATGATACGTAAATTCTCTGAAATTAAATTTTTCGACGAATTTAAAACGTTGACTAATCGAGTAATATTTTTAGCGAGCCAAGAATATCCCTAGCTTTCTCTAAGAATTTTCCTCGTAAAATTCACCGACCTAGAACTGGTCAGATCGTTCACTAGAATTAATTCTGACTAAATCTAAAAATGCAAATCTCACGAGAATTAAAATTCTCGTTTTAACTTTGAAATTTTCATCGATAATCCACTGATTCATCGATCGATGATGATTCATTATTAACATTAACGCTAAGTAATTCGCCAATCTACGACGAATACAAAGTAACATTGAACGTTTTCAATATTCCTCGTGAAACTCTTCCATGAAACTTTGAGAGATCTAAAATATTTTATGACGATTAAAATTTTTAATTGCGAATGAAACGGACGAAATTGCTCATCGGTTCGTCCATTAAAATCTTCGACTAAGCGGAAGTGACCGGAAGCGATCCGATTCTCTCGATGGTACACTCACTGTCGCTTCTCGACAGGTTTCACTGTCGCAGATTTCGTCGAACTTGAACGACACGCTCGTTTCAGGTTTATCGTTCGTGGAAAGGTGCGTGACGTACGTGGCCAGAGAATTCTTAAGGCGGGCTCTTATCGATTGTTTCGAAACTCGTCGCCACACTGTTCGTTCATGCTTGCGAACAGAATTTCTAGTTTTCGAAATAAAATCATTGCTTGGAAAAACGATTGGGTAATATAAACTTGCATACGTACATGATCATGGGCCGCGTAATTATCTGATTTTATATGCATATGCATGTGAATATTTCATAAATTAGCATATTATTGAATTTTAATTTTTTCTCCTTTTATCTTTTTTTTTTTAAACATAGGATTAAAAGAGAAATTAATTACCTTCTTTTTTTCTTCATTTAAGAAATATCATAACCTGCTTCGAAATTATTACAATTTCTGAATTTTCGTGGTAATCGGTTTAAAAAAAAAAAAGAAAGATGAGAAAGATAAACTATTTTTTTTTTTCTTTTTTTTCATTCCGTGAAAAATACATTAATGACTCATCAGCTTTAGGAGAGGCTTTAATTTTTGCCACGTCATACCTGCTTGTTCTAAAACTTAATCCCCTTTTCTTTCCTTTCTTTCTTTTTTCTGGGCTTTATCCGACAGAGAAATATATTAAGACGACCTCTTTCTCGTGAACGAGGATAAAAAGAAAACGAAAAAGGACACACAGGAATGACGTGTTCTTCATTTTCATAACACGTATTCGCGCAAAGTGTACAATGCCTCGTACAATCAATGTTGTAATCACGGTCGTAATATCGATTCCGTAAGCTTTCAATTATCGACGCTTCCAGAATTCCAACTGTGAAATTTCAATAACACGATTCCATTTTGCGAGTATCGCATACAAATTATTAAAACCTCCTCCTCGATATCGAGGAAGGATTCTTGACATTTTTCTCACGCAACAAATACATATTTTTTCGATCTCATCCACGCTCTGTCCTCGCTAAAGCAACAAGCAAAAGAACCTTCTCGAAAAGAGCGTGTATCCATTTTTCTCAACGACGAAATAAAATTCTCGATCGCGTCAAGTACGAGCTAAATTCTATTCGAAGCGAGCTCTCGAGGAAAAAAAGGGGGGGGGGGCGATAAACGATTATTCGGGAAAGAAAAAACTTTAATTATGTGGTTTTACTATTCTTCGACCGCGCTCTTTGTGCTAACGATCACGTTAACGATATGCTGCTCTCGGCCTCTCGTCACGAATACCACACCACGGCTCCTCTCTGCTTCTACATCGCTTTGCGCGTCGGCCTTTGCCTTCTTTGACGGCCAAAAACGTACGCTGCCGTTGCATACGTACACGCGTATGTATATGTATTATTATTACCGCGATTTAAATTCCGTTTTGTTCCCGTGTCCCGCCAGAAATGGCCCCGATTGTTGGCGTGTCAATCGAAGGAATCGCGGAATTCGAGATATACTCGAAACAATTTGTATAAGTTTAGATATTCGAAGAATTCGTAGAATATAAAATGAATATAAAATTGAAATGTTGGATTAAATCATTTAATACTTCGTAATATTCCAGACATATTTTTGTATAATATAATTTCGAAAAATTTTTATATTATTCATCCTTGGTAACTTTTAATGTAATGGGATTTACTTGTTCGTTTTTCTTTCTCAACGAGATAAAATAATAGGAGAAATTCTGGTATTTCCTTTGCGCAAGTGCATGCGTGTTAGTAACAATCAAAGGAAATTAACGAAGGTTAATCCTTTGAATAATAAAATATAAATGTCTGTTGTAAACCTGAATCGGTTAAATTACTTCATCACTCTGTGAATAAACGAAT